GACTTGCATGATGTAGAGCAAGCTATGTGGGTACTTTTGTTGGCAGGCAAACTGTCTGGGCGTGCAGCAGACGCCTACCGGGCTGTACCCAGAGAGGACAGCAAGAATTATGACAAGGTAAAGCAGGCGCTATTAGAAAGGTATGCCATTACCCCAGAGGCATACCGGCGCAAGTTCCGAGAATTGAAAAAAGGGGACAAAGACTCACATGCGGAGTGGGCACACAAGCTTGACCAAGCCTCACAAGGCTGGATCCAAGCCAGCAGAGCTACCACCATGGAAGAGTTACGCCAGATGTTGCTACTGGAGCAGTTTTGTAATGGCCTGGCACCAGAGGCTCAAGAATGGGTGAATGACCGAAATCCTCACACCCTAACCGAAGCGGCACGATTGGCCGACCAACATTATGATGCTAGGAGGCATCATAAAAATAATAACCAAGGGTATGCAAAACCCAACCCGCAAGCGTTTCCAGTTATTGCTCCTGCCCCAGCGACAGCACCATCCAGACCAGCACTTGTGGGACAACCTCCCCACTCCCGTTATAATGGCAGGTCCAACATCCAGTGCCATGCCTGTAAGCAATGGGGGCAACATGGCCCGGGAGTGCACCCAAAACCGGAGCCGCAAGAACTGGAATCAGCTCCGGCAGAATATGGCCCCGCGGGCAGCTGCTCATTATTATCATGCAGAGCCAACTTTGCCAGGAGTGCCGCTTGAGTCGGCTGATGAACCCCTGGGCGTTTTGCACGATGTAATGTCCATCCATGCTACTGACAACCGACAACCACATTGCCAGACCGTGACTCTGGAAGGGAAAGAGGTAGAGGGGCTACGTGATTCCGGCGCTACCTTAACTTTGGTTGCCCCGCATTTGGTGTCAGGATCAGCACATACCGGGGGATCGGTAGCAGTCCGGGTAGCAGGGGGTGCCATGTACCGGCTACCAACTGCCAAGGTACATCTGAATTGGGGTGTGGGGGAAGGTATGGTGGAGGTGGGGCTGATGCACAAGTTACCAGCTGATGTTGTTTTGGGGAATGACCTGGGGCAAATGACTTCCGCTTATGTGCCCCAAAGTCCTCGCCATGAGGCATATCCAGTGACCACCCGTCAGCAGGCTCGCACCACGGCTTCATCTTTCACACACTCTGAGGCTCAGGTAAGAGACAATGTACCCCGTGTAACTGTCAGGATCACCATTGTGCTTTACACAATATTGTGTATTTGGGTCTGGCTGGGATCAAACCTGAGTTTCCTGCATCCCAGTCGGTATCCTTGCATTGAGCTCCACGCATCTTTGACTGTTTCTGGTTGTTCTTGGTATCCTGTAGTCTGAGCCTGTACGCCTGGAATGTGCACACCTGTTCCTGATTCCTTGATGATTGGCTGAGACTCCCTATTTAAACCCCGCAAGGCTGGTTCTCGTTGTCAGATCGTGTTTCCTGTTCATGTTTGGTTTCACTGCTATTCTTCTGACTCCTGGTTTTGATCCCCTGCTCGTCTACCGTTTTTGCCTGATTGCCGCCTGTCCTGACTTCTGATTCTGATACTGACTACTCTTCTGGATATCGTTTGTCTGTACTGCGTTCCAGGAAGCACTGGTTATTTCAGCCCCAGTGCACTGTGTCACAACCTTGGGGATTTCTGTCCTGAGTCCCCTTGGCCTGTGTCGAATTGCAAAGGGTGCTTTAACTCTGCGTGCCGGACTCCCACTCCAGGTAAGATCCTTGACATTACGATCTGACCAAATGGAGTCTGCAGAGTTGAAGATTACCGTTGCAGCCTTGACCCAGCAAGTTTCCCAGCTCACCCAGGCTTTGCAGGGCTTACAGCAGGAGCTGGCTTCCCTTAAAGGGAGAGTAACCTATGACTCTGGACTCTCTGAACCGCTGGTTGCTCTACCCGAGAAATTTTCTGGGATCCGGTCTAAGTATGATACCTTCAAAGTTGATTTCGAGGTCCTGTTCTCCCTGAGACCACTTACCTATGCCACAGACGTCATTAAAGTGAGGACAGCGATTACCTTATTGTCGGGGCACCTTAAGATCTGGGCCCACCAGTTGTTACTCGCCAAAAGCCCAGTCCTAGATTCCTGGGAGTCCTTTATTCGGTCCCTGGGTTTACAAGTCAACAAGACACAAAAGTCATATGTACATAGATCACCTACTGTTGCTTCACACATATTGCAACCCGGACTGGAAATGGACTACACTACTCCTTTCACTCGGACTGATGTTACAGCTAACCCTACCGCTCCCAAGTCTCCCGAAACATCGTATAAATCTGGCAGGGAGGCGGAGGAACCAATGGAGATTGGACTGGTTAGGTTCCGTCAGTCATCTCAAGAAAGGGCAAGAAGGATGGCGCATGGACTGTGTTATTATTGTGGGGAGATGGGACATTTAATATCTTTTTGTCCCATTCGTCCATCTAGGTCTCGGGTTCTCCGTCTGGGTACTACTCTGGCATATCCTATGAGACCTGTCTGCCAACATGCTGCCTGTCCTTGCTTGACCACTCTGTCCAATCCTCAGCCTTCTACAGTCGTTGCTCCTGAGGTTGTGCAGGAATCTGTTACTAAAGAACCTGAGATCTCTATTTCTACTAAAGATTCTGCTTCTAAGAAGGCAAGCACCACAACCACTACAAGTCCTGTCAAGGAAGACCCTCTTTCTGGCTGTACCTATGCCTCTAATGGGACTCTAGTCCGGAAGGAGGACTTGCAAGTATTTGAAAAGGCCCTACAAGCTATGACCTCTGCTCCTACTAGTACCACCAAAGCCAAGAAATCCAAAAAGTAACCTCCTGGGTCGTAAGTTGCGTTCCTCTTCTCGCCTACGGCGTCTTTGAAGGGGGGGTAATGTCAGGATCGCCATTGTGCTTTACACAATATTGTGTATTTGGGTCTGGCTGGGATCAAACCTGAGTTTCCTGCATCCCAGTCGGTATCCTTGCATTGAGCTCCACGCATCTTTGACTGTTTCTGGTTGTTCTTGGTATCCTGTAGTCTGAGCCTGTACGCCTGGAATGTGCACACCTGTTCCTGGTTCCTGGATGATTGGCTGAGACTTCCTATTTAAACCCCGCAAGGCTGGTTCTCGTGGTCAGATCGTGTTTCCTGTTCCTGTTTGGTTTCACTGCTATTCTTCTGACTCCTGGTTTTGATCCCCTGCTCGTCTACCGTTTTTGCCTGATTGCCGCCTGTCCTGACTTCTGATTCTGATACTGACTACTCTTCTGGATATCCTTTGTCTGTACTGCGTTCTAGGAAGCACTGGTTATTTCAGCCCCAGTGCACTGTGTCACAACCTTGGGGATTTCTGTCCTGAGTCCCCTTGGCCTGTGTCGAATTGCAAAGGGTGCTTTAACTCTGCGTGCCGGACTCCCACTCCAGGTAAGATCCTTGACACACCTGTAGTCTACAACTGGAGTTGGCGACGTAACTGTTATCATTTATATAACACATTTAATTGCAACGTTGTTGCACAGTTACATTAAACCATACATTTATAAAAACATTAGCAGGTGTTCAAAAGGCCCTGTCTATGACATCACTTGCTGCTGCAGCTTGACACAGGTCAGAGTATTTTGGTAGTTGCCATCTTCAAACGGTCGTATCTTAAAAACTATAACTCCTACAGTGAAGAGCTTTATATTGTGAGAATCACAAGACCCAGACCTACATTTGATGCATAGTATGTCTCTGAAGTATTAAAATTGAAGGCACAGTCGCAGTTTAGAAATTGCACTTCAAATTTGAGCTTTGCAGAGTGAAGTTTCAATGAAAGTCAATGGACGGCATTGGTTGCAAACAAATGGTCATATTGTGAAAACTATCAGGACTACGGCTTAGCCGTTGACATGTTTAGTGGCAGTAGGGATAGCTGAACGTTTTGATATAAGATTTGTGTAGGTGGGCCTGAAAATAAGGGAGTGGTGGCAGTTTAGAAATCATGTCCTGATTTTTCAGCTTTTGCCAGCTCCCACTCTAGCTTTGCTATTCATTCCTATGGGACAAATTTCGCCACAAGAACGACGATATTCCGTGAACCATTCGGCGAAACGCTCCACAAAGTAATAGCAATCCGATCGGGAACAATCTGCACGTTTTGGTAAATTTTGGTCTATGTAGTGTAAAAACTGTGGGAGGAGTTAGGGTGGCAAATTTTGCTATAATAATAAGAATAATAACTAGAAAAGTTACAATTTCTGGGGAAATTGTGTGAAGTGTTCTTGCCTCCACCTGTAGTCTACAACTGGAGTGGGCGGAGTAACTGCTATCATTTACATAGCACATTTAATTGCAACGTTGTTGCACAGTTACATTAAACCATACATTTATAAAAACATTAGCAGGTGTTCAAAAGGCCCTGTCTATGACATCACTTGCCGCTGCAGCTTGACACAGGTCAGAGTATTTTGGTGGTTGCCATCTTCAAACGGTCGTATCTTAAAAACTATAACTCCTACAGTGAAGAGCTTTATATTGTGAGAATCACAAGACCCAGACCTACATTTTGATGCATAGTATGTCTCTGAAGTAATAAAATTAAAGGCACAGTCGCAGTTTAGAAATTGCACTTCAAATTTGAGCTTTGAAGAGTGAAGTTTCAATGAAAGTCAATGGACGGCGTTAGTTGCAAACAAATGATTATATTGTGAAAACTATCAG